TTGCTGAACCGTTTCGGCTCCGGTGTACAAGGACATCAAGCTATGGTGAAGTTTGAAAAGAGATGACGAATCCATAGACAAGTTTTTGGATGACCTTGAATTACTCAAAAGGAAGAGCAATCCCGATTAGAGAATATTGGAGCAAAACTTGGCAATCGCCTCGAAGTTCATGGATGAAGTAAAAAGTGATGAGCTGAAAACCATCTTGGCCACACACTTCAACCTGTCGCTTGATCAGGTGCCCACGCTCGATGATTTGCGTCTGAAGTTGCGTGAGTATTTGCTCATAAAATCAAGGGCGCAAAATCGTTACAGCAATTATGGCAATTACAGCGGAACAAACACTGGCGCGAAACCCAGTTGGTATAGACCTCGTGACGACATGGATAAAAGGAGGTCATGTGCAAATTATGGTTCGATGGACCACCATGTTTCCACCTGTTCTGCTTACAAGCAAAACATGAAAGCAATAGGCTATTTTCTTGACGATGTTGATGCGACCGATGGGGACCAGGAAGTTTATGTGAGAGGACTCATAATGAGATATGGACCAAGATGCTTCTTCTGCAACTTGAAGGGTTATTTCAAGTCGGATTGCACTCAAGTCTGGGATGCAGTAGCGGACGCGAAGCATCCCCGCCATGAGGAGTCACTTTCGGGGGTCAAAGCAGGTCGAGCACGCCTGATGAATGAAACCGAGTCACGAAAAAAAGAAATGACAACAGGCACCTTCACAACCAAGAAGTTGGAAACCTTACCTGATGAGGCAATTTCATCGAGCCTGGAGGCGGAGTCAACCGGCGCGCTCAAGGTGGATTATGGCCTAGCGGCACGGACCGCATTACAGAATGTTCAGCAAGAATTGGCCACCAAAGAGGTTGAGCAATGGGTAAGTCAGAGTTAGAAAATACAGAGCGGCGCGAGAAACTTGACATTCTGGGAAGATCGACGAAGGAAGAGGATAACCAGGAACCCATGAAGCAGGGTCTAAAGCTGAATGTCAACTCGGGAAGACCTTCGACATGGCAAGAGAAGGGACAAAAATAATGTCGATCATAACGATCGCGGGCCATCAAATGGTGAAAAACTTGAGCGAGCCGTCGGAGATCACGCTAGTACACCTGGACATCTACGCGGACTACTTGAGAGAGAAGGATCCCAACTTGGACTCTAGGGCTGTGCTAGCGTTGCTCACTAGGAGTCCAAGACTAATGAAAGTAGATGGACATCACATCGAAGTACATGGCCCATATCCGATTTTAATGAACGTGGATGGAATAAACATTTACACCAAAGCTCACGTGACTATTGCAGCTGACCAGGTAGGTCGCATCTACATTGGTCGAGGACAGCTTAAGTTCCGACGAATCGGACACAACGCCATACTCGAACAGAAAGCCGTCCACATAGGCTGTGAAGCCCATCTGACCGCGCATGTACTGGACGTGCAGGGTTAGACAACTCTCTGTGAAGGGTTTATTAGACACCGGAGCAATGGTCAGTGTCATGCCTATGAGCCCCTGGACTGACATGGTTTTTGATAGGTCGGATCTGATTCCGACTAACATCACACTGGCAGCGCTTAATGGATGAGTTTCCTGGTCGTCGAGAATCTTTACGAGTCCGACCAGTTCATCCTAGGACAGGATTTTGTGCGCAACTTCGATGTCACGATTGACCTCAAGGACGGAAGTATGAAAAGAAACCAATTAATAAAACATGATTAACCAAGCAAATGTGCCAATTTTCCTAGATACGAAGGTTAGGTTAAAACCACATCAGGCTGTAATAGCGACATTTTGGGTGAGTAACCAAAATGAGCTTAGCAACAATAGACAGGTGTGTCTGGTTCGAAATGCCAACAGTAAAAGCTCAGCTATTTTAGGAAGAAGCTTCTCACTCACTCAGAACAGACTGTGTGTGAGTGTGTTGTTGAACACAGAGGCAACCACGATGACAAAACAACGAGGAACAAAGCTTGGCTACTCATTGCCTCTGAACACAGATTATCAGATTGTGGAGAAAATATTTGACGTAACTAAGTTTCCCTTGCATGCCAACCAAGAATGCATACTAAAAAGGATAAGTGAATTGAAATCTTCTAAAATATTGTTTTCAATGAAGTCAGAGACAGACGATGGTCTGTCTAATTCATCAAATTTTCCCGAGAGACCGACAGAATCAGAACAAGCCAGTCCTACCCGAGAGAGAGCATTTGAAAGGCAAATATCAGATAAGGAACTGGACTCATTCAGCGCGGTGTTAAATCGGAACGCAGAAGTTTTTCGAGGCATAAGGCCGATATAGGTTACTGCAATTTTGTAGAGCATGAGATCGAAATAGAAAAGGAATCAGTACTTCACAGGGAAGGGGCAAGGAGAATGACCCCAAACAAATCAGAAGCATGCGGAAAAGAAATTGAAATGCTAATGGAGTATGACATGATCTATTAAAGTCCCCTGGGATTGCGACGTGGTCATGGCAAAAAGAAAGTGGGCAACTTAGGTTTGTTGTGACTTCCGCTACCTGAATGCGGTAACGAGAAAGGACGCATACCCGATTCTCCGCATCGACGAGAGCCTCTCCAAGTTATGAGATGCAAAATTCTTCACGACGCTGGATTTGGGCTCTGCTTTCTGGTAGGTGCACCTCAGAAAACAGGATCGAGAGAAGACAGGCTTTGCTTGCGAACTGGGGCTGTACCAGTGGAAAAGAATGCCGTTTGGATTATGCAATGCGACGGCTACGTTCAAACGATTATTGGCTCAGGCACTCACCAATGTAACTAGGAATTATGGCAACCTCATAACGCTGGAGGACCATATAAGGAGACTAGACGAGGTCTTCGGTTGCATGAAACAAGCGGGTCGGAAGTGCAAACCTTCAAATTGCGAAATCTTGAGAGACTCAATCAAGTATCTGGGCCGCCTTCTAAACAAACACGGGGTCAGGCCAGATCCCAAAGCGACTTCAGTGGTTGCGATATCGGGCATACTTCACCAAGAACACGAGTGGAACGGGAGAACCGTTCTCCGAACAATAGCCTATGGAAGTAAGGTCCTGAGCGACACTGAAAGGAAGTATGGTGCACCAAAAGTGGAGATGATGTTTGCGGTGATCACTTTCGTGGAAAAATACAGAGCCTACTTAGGGAGTGCTCCATTCAAGTTGCTTGTGGACAATCGTGCTTTTGCCTGGCTGAAAACCTATTCAATGGACCAAAGCTATATTGGTCGTTGGATTGTGCGCCTGGATGGAAACCACATGATCATAGAGCATCGAAACCGTGACAAGCACCAGAATGCCGATAGTCTCAGCAAAAAGACGGAATTTTATCAGCGACTAGAAGAGAGGCAGGCAAGCCAAGCAGAGATTAAGGATGGATTTTCATTTCTGGACAAAGAAACCTATGAGGAACTGCCACGAGATGGCTCGACAAGTCAGGGCATCCCATACCACGACATCCCGAACTTCCCGTAGAAGTTGCTGTGGAGATAAAAATGTTATCGCGAGGTGATCCAGTACCGTTGGACTTGCTGGTTCAACCAAACCTGGTTCAACAAGAACTGACCAGGCTGGGCATCAACAGCACAGCACTACTGAACAAGACGGTGAAAGTGGCACCGGATGTCGTGTTAAAACTCCGTGACCTGCAAGACAGAGAGGTTGAATGGCATGATCATGAGTGGCTGGACACCATGCGGCGGTTGACTATCATTGAAAGAACGGAGAAAAGGCCGGTAACCATCCGGAGTCGGGATATTGTACGGGACAGCCGGTCGATAGTGAATCAGCTAGTGAACTCGATGCCCAAGGATGTCTTGTTGAGGACTTTGCACAGGGAACATAGGGAAGCGACCAATGTCCAAACCACTGAGGAAGTAAGGATCAAGTCCAAGTCCAGTGTGACGAGAAAAGATCAATTCAAAGAGGCAAAAGAGGAGTACGAGCCGTGCTCGGAAAGTTCATCTGGGGACGAGACATTGTCCGGGGAGTCATCCGCTTTCGGGCCCAGACAAGACGACTTGTCCGGGGAGTCGGATTCGAAGCGACCAAGGGACAGAATTTTGTCCGGGGAGTCGAGAAACATCTGAGACAAGCTGGAATATAATGATGTAGATTCCACCGGCTCGAGTGATGATTCCAGGATTCAGTCCTGGGAGAATACGTCGGAAACTCGAAGATTGTGATTCATTCCTTGTTGGTGGAATGGAACCAGCGCGGGTTGGACCGGGAAATTTATCAGGAGCAGGAGCGAGACAGGTATACCTCCGATGAGGAGGGCACTTTAGTGGATAATGCCGCAAATGAGCTTGAACTGATAGCAGTGTCGAAACGTCCAGCCAGATTACTTCCACATGGTACGGTCGTCCGTACCAACCTGGAACCATATGTGCAGGAAGCAACACTTTTGAAGAAGATATGGTGTGTCAAGTTGATGGATGATGCCCATGCCCCGGAGATAATAAGCTGACAATTAAACGTGATGAAAACGTATCTGAAAGCCAGGTACCGGCTGTCGCATATCTTAAGGGCTCAACGAACCGATAGAATGATGAGCAATCTGAAGAGATGGATCGAGAACGGAGCACCTGACAAAGGAGATCTAGAAGAAGACAGCTACAAGATCTTGAAGCAAATTTATCTGAAGAGAAAAGATTTGCTGTACTTGAACAAAGACGGAATCGTAGCCTTCAAACGGAAGGAAAAGGACAAAGTCCTTTACAAATATAATTCAAAAGTGTTACCACAATTGTACCAGACCGATGTGCTCTTTCGTTTAGATGATCAGATGGGCCATCAAGGCGTGGACAAAGTGTACAACAGGAAACAGAAACGATTCGAATGACCTGGTTTGAAGAAGGCTTGTGAAAAGTGGACCTCTTAATGCTTGTTGTGTCAACAGGCGAAGGACCCCAGGAGACTGAGGTTCCCCCTGCAGTCAATAGAGTCATCAGGGTTCAACGAAGTGGTTGCAAATTGATCATCAGAAGATATGTATGACAGCCACGGGCTACAATCAAGTGCTGGTAATGGTTGATCATTTCATGAAATACGCAGAGGCAGCACCCTGCATGACAGCATCAGCGGAAGAAACTTGCGATCACTTGGTATATGTATGGATAGCGAGACACGCCTGCCCCATCACATTCCAATCAGACCGTGGCAAAGCATTCGTGGGTGATCTCACGAAGGAGTTAACGAAGATGTCGTTGGTGGCACAGGCCCACTCGACCACTTATCACCCACAAACGAATGGCCTAGTTGAAAGGCAAAATTGCACGTTGGTATCCATGTTGAGAGTTTTTTGCTCACGCTACATGGAAGACTGGGATAGAAACTTGCCGCAAGTGATGGGCGCTTATAACAGCACAGAACACTCCACCACGGGAATAAGTCCGCATATGATGCTAACTTCCCATTAAAATTCTTCTACTATGAGTACGAAGTAAAGAAAACAGCACCGCAAACGTACGTGCGTGATGATTTTAGAAGACAGCAGGACCTCAATGATTTATGCAGGAGGAACACGCAACAGGCGCAAATCAGACAAAAAAGGAGATTTGATAAAAGGACTGCGGATGCAAGTCTTACTAGGTCGGAGATTATGTCTGGGTGTTCCAGGAAGTAGTTCCACCAAAGAGAACCAAACAATTACAGAAAAAATGGCGTGGTCCTTTCCAAATAACTGAAGTACACCAAGGAGGTCGTTTTTATTGACTGAGCACCGGACGAGCAGCTCAGTACGAAAACATCAAGCCGCACAATGCCTCATCAGAGGACTGGTGTATCCCAGCTGACATGGAAGAGGGAGACTATTTGATAGTGGATACTGCCTGCTGGGTGAATGAAAGAGGCACGCGCGAAAAAAACGACGGGAATGAGGTGCTAGATAATTGCCATCTACCACTGGACCTGGAATTGACCGAGCGAGCGATTGGAGGTGGACGACGAGACTCTACCTTATGCCGAAGAGGACTGGGACTGCCCAGAACAAACTGAAAATGACAAAGGAGTACAGCCTGATTTTCCCTTTACCATGGAAACAAGCCAGAGCAAAAGAGGGAAAGGCGAGAAGAAGCACAATCCGTATGGCGATGATTTTGTCATAGACAGGATAGTTTTGAGCGACATGATGGACTCGCTAGTGGGACTGGACGAAACGCTGGTGCCACAAGAGATCGACCTAGTCAGCGACACAGAACAGGGTTGGATCGACGATTGCTCTGAACCGGAAGTGGAGTTCGAACCGGAGGCTGAACAGATGCATGATCATGAATTGACAAATCTATGAAAACTTGAATGACTCCATGATCTGCCAGCAGACCTGAAAGAGACCATCTTGACGATTCAAGGGGTCGACCAAAACAGCATCAAATATATCAGTCACGACAATACTGAATCCATCTGGTTCGCTCCAGATGGTCCTTTACACGTTCCAGAATCCAATCTCGATCTGCTCGATTTTGGGCGATCAACGGAGACGTTGATGGATATTTTTGTTCGGGGAGTGGAGGTAGGACTCACCCACACCGAAAATCTGATTATTAAAAAATTAAAATCGTCGAGGGAAACCGGAAGGCGAAAATACTAAAAAACAACCATTCGGACGAGTTTTTGAATCTTACTTTGATCTACCAAAACACTATTCGTCAAAATTTCGTCATCACGGACAGCGATTTCATACTCACGGAACTTACGTGCGCTATAGCAATAATCGCGGATGTAAGCTCTAAGACAGCACTAGCGGCCGACTTTAAGAGAGAGTATCAGAATATCGAGTTTTTGTGGAAACAGAGGCCTGGTGTGGGAGGGATGATAGCGCTGCCCCCTGTCGCATCACAGACACCAGGGAAAATTTTGTGTTTCCTTGTAACTAAGGCCACTGACAAGCAACATGTAAATCCCGAAAACTTGGTGCTGCCCTAACTCGAAAGCATTTCCTGGTTGATAGAGGAGCGACCTCTCTCTCTCTACCAGTTTATGATCCCAATAGGGGAAAACAGCATCCGAAAGAGCTGTACGCCATGGTACATGTAATATTTTCAGAGACAGACATAGAAGTCTACTTACATAATAAATATTACCTGAGCATATGCTAGAGCCACATTAGGTGTTAAGCAGCCTTTGTTAGTTTTGCTTTTTAGGCACTAGGATTTGGTTTTAGGTTAACTATTAGGGATTAGATTGTTATGGGATAGTGTTGATATGTGGTATTTGTATGTTATGTTATTGTTAGCTTATGTTTTATGTGATGTATATGTCATGAAGGCCTGGAACACTCCAGGTACGGAAGGTGACAGCGCTCAGTTGTGTTATCTTGACAAGATCGCAGGTGGACGATCCAACTTGGTGCTAGCTTTCAAATCAAGAAAGAATGAGAGTTTCGATGGATTGTTTTTTAAAAAGATGTGATTGGTGTTTTATCCCAGAAAGGAAAACCTGGAATGATGGTTCTAACTCGTGACTTGTTTTTTAGATCTTGATTGATTCCACTTTGTTTATTGACCTTGAGTAACCAGAAGAGTTGGACAAGACATACACGATGAAAAATGAGTGACACGAACGGCTTGATAGATTTCATCTCAGCGAGCCTATGAACGATTCAAGGCGAGATATACCAACGCCTGGTGGACTGCAATTACGCACTAGAAGACCCGGAGTTGGCGATGTTCACTGTCGCACTCTTGAATGCAATGGGAAGAGAAGGCCGTGGGAACTGCCCCACGGATGTGGTCTTAATGTTGGCCTACGGCGATTCCGGGACCGCTGAGAGGCCAAAACCAACTGATGAGATGGCGGCGAGGAGAAATGCCTGGCCATGACTTGGCTCGTGAGCCGGGACTAGGTGAGCAGAGGGATCACCGGCTAGGTGAGATACCCTTACCTGTTCGACCAGTGCAGCCTCTTATCGGAGCGAAACGATCACGTGATGCGCCGGGCCCGTCACACTCAGTAGATTCTCCAACGGCTGCTCCTCCACTGAAGAGATTCAGGATGAATGAGATGGAGAGTTAGACCTCGGAGACTATTGAAACCTTGGAAAAGAACGAGGAGGACCGGAAAGAGCTGCATGCCAAGTTGGAGAAGAACAAGGCAATAGCTCGAGAAAGAGACGAATGGAAAAAGAAAAACGACGAAATGCAAATAACCCTCAACGAGGAAGAGATAAAACACCTGAGAGAGTTATATATGGTAAGGGTGAGCCAAGTGTCACCGGCGGTTCTGGCAACAATGAACTCCTCGGATGGATTCAGGGACACGCCTCCCAGGACGAAGGCACAGGAGCTGTGCAACCCGAGGGAGCCTATGACTCCTCAGCAGATACCACAATCTACCCTGAGCTCTAGGAACACGATACGGGATCCTTCGGACACCTATTTAGCTCCTCAGTTTCAGGAGTCACTCAATCAAGTAGCCAGAGCGACGATGGACGAGATCAACAGGATCAGTGGCCGGACGCTGGGTAGTGTCGTCCCTTCCCAACGCCCTGATCGCTGCTTGAGTAGCTCGGAACGAACGTCACGAGCCATAGTGCCAACGGGACCCCTACGTTGCGAGACTGCTTTGAGATCTCGCGTAGTGGACATCAGAAAGAACTTTGAGGTCCGCAACTTATTTCTGCGTAGCATCCTCGAGCCTGCCTGAACGGCAAGAGCTGGAACCCTGCAATCAGCAATCAGGCAATTCCCCAGGGAGTCGTCATCTGGTTGTTGGAAATAGTCTGGCGAGGGATCTGAATGAGTTCTTTGCGAGTGAGCAGACCACTGTTCGATCTTTTGGAGGGAACTCCGTGGCTCAAGTCAACAAAATGATGGAATTCCAGGGCGAGGATCAGCTGGACACATTGGCGATAATGCTTGGTACTAATGATGTTTTGAGAGCCCCTGTTACTCCAGAGGGCAGATGGGAGCCCCTGCTGCTCTGCCTTTTCAATGAATTGAAGTAAAAGTATCGACCTAGACTCGTGGTGCTGTGCACAATCCCGCAAAATCCTGAGATGGGCACGCCAGTGGCGGATTTCATGAATGGTAATGTGACCCGTTGGAATGACATGACCCGCAATCTGGTGAGGAGCAATCCTAGCGAGCTGCGACTCATGGATCTCGAGAACACACTGCGGATGACTGACCATCTGGCATTCACCAGGTATGGGATACGTTTCAACACAGCACACAAGGAAGGCATTGGATAAACGACGCGTTTCAGATGAAAATTGAGGAAATGGAGCGAAGCAAAAATTGAGGACATCTGACTCACTGGCTCGGACCAGTTCGACTGGAGGAGGTAGAGTGAGGGGTAATGTGCCGGAACCACTCGCCAATCGTCTCGGGCCCCTGGCAATGGAAACGGGTGCAACCACTCCCGTTGCTCCGAGCTCAGATGTGAGAGAAAGGTTGGGGACTGCTCCTCCCCCTAGAAGACAACCGTTCGAGAGCCGTTTTGGGAGGCCAATTGATCAGAGTCAGACTAGCTCTCAAACCGTATCCAGGACGAGTAACCCGCCCGCGATGGTTCCTGCTCCTGCAGGAAGCCCACCGACGAGTGCCACGCCGGCGAAGGGAATTGAACCAAACAGTGTGCTGCCTGGAACCGTCCAGATTCCAGCGATTGGGGGCCAATATAAAACTGACATGTTGGCTAACTTGAACATGAACACGTTAATATGTCGAGCGGATGCAAGGAAGATGATGGGTTCCACAGTGTCGGGATTATATCGGATATCGGGCGTGGACTGGCTATTAGCAGAGCAGGAGCAGCTTAGCTCCGCAACCACGCTCAGGTTTTTGGATCTAGAGAGATTGCCTCAGGACAATACCTTTAGACCCCTGAACACCCGATCTCTTACGGACGTCCATCGGAGAGCCAGGGAATTGACACCGCTTTCCCGTAGGGGCAAATTTCTGACAGAGAATAACCCCAACAATAAGCATCATAAGATGTATCGGCAGTTCTCCAAACTACCCGGCCAAGCGCCTGGTGAGTATTGGAGAGACAATTCCCGAGTGTCCTCGGTGGAGGGGGACGATAAGAGGTACGCCGGACTGAAGACACCAATGGGTGACAGCCTGTTTGCTGCCTATGATCCCCTAGAAAAAAAAGGCTGCCAAAAGCCTGATAGTGGCAAATTCAGATTATCTCTAAACGACTCGTTCTCTCTTTTGGCCCGACGTGATTTTCTTGACAGCGCCTAAATTGGACTGGGAACAATCAGTGGTCATGACGATAAGCGTGCAGAGGACGGTCAGCATGGACCTATATGTGATAATAATCGCCGGCTCGAATGACCGCCTCCAGAGTAGAGGATTGTTATCCCGTCTGACGATTGGATCGAGTCCCAGTAATGAGATCATGGGAGAGGCGATCATGACGTTACTTTCGGCCATGACTCAGGTGGAATCATCATTTCAGCGACACGTCACTA